ATACACCGTGTACACATACAATGTACACATACACCGTGTACACATACACCGTGTACACACACAATGTACACATACACCGTGTACACATACACACCGTGTACACATACACACCGTGTACACATACACACCGTGTACACATACAATGTACACATACACCGTGTACACATACAATGTACACATACACCGTGTACACATACACTATATACACATATACCGTGTACACATATACCAAGTACACATATACATACACATATACCGTGTACACATACACATACACATATACCGTGTACACATACAATGTACACATACACCATGTACACATACAGAAATAAAATAATGCTTAAACAGAAGGTAATTGTTCTATTTTTTAAACTTTAGACAAGAATGATATCAACAGAAGGAAATAATGGTTTCAATATACAATGTATAACATAATTAAAATTAGGTAAAAAAAATGAAAAAAAAATAGCATTATAATAAAAATAGCCAGGTTACACTCAAAACAGAAATGATTTACCTTTTTTTCTAAATAATGATACAAGTACAAATGTTCAATTATAAAGTCTAAAAACTAACAGATTGGTTACTTCTCTAAAAACTAATAGTATGGTTAAATTCTACAACACATCTAACACAGAAGTATACAATAGTATAGCCAGCTATATTGTACAATAATATACTCCAGTACAAATTATTCCAAATCTTTTCAAATTCATCCTTCCAGAATAAAACCACTTTTTTCTGGAATTGTTGGGAATATTTTGTACTTAAATGTTCATGTTACTCTACGGTGTGAAATAATGACACCTCAGACATGTATAAATAGATAATGTTCACAACCTATCACAACTCATGTAAAAGTTAGGGTGTAAATGTACTGGACGATAATAATGGCAGAGAACATTGGTCAGTTGGTCAATGCTGTTCTTCTTTAAGCATTTTCAAACTCATACCAAATGAATCAGGAAACAAATAAATAACAAAATCTTAATTTTTAATTAAAAAAGAAAGGGTACAATTCTGAATTACTTTAAATAAACTCAAATTCTTTGAATGAAAAGAAATTTGGGAATGTGGTAAGTTAGTTTATTCTATAGTTGTTACTTGATACTATACTATCTATCTTACTGGTAATTAGCTCTGCATCAGGTAACAAAAGAAAAATGAAAATGATTGTGAAGACCATTATGGTCATAAATAATTCAAACATATGTTCTTTTGCTATATTCACAGCAAAATGATTTCTACAATGGAACTGAAGCTAGTTTAAACCTTAAAATATCAGGCAAAAAGGAAACAAAATTGACTCTTTACAACCTTAATCCTTTCTACTAAATTAAAGACATTATAATGTTTTTGACGTTTATGTCAAATATTGCTTATAGATTCCACATGTTATTTCCCTGTATGTGTCAGACTACATGTATTACTATACTCCGTGATCAGCTGATGCAGATTTACTGCCAGTTAAACTGTCAGCTCTAATCTTGTTTGATCCAGACATCCAACATCATACTAAGGTACTTACTGACATAAGCACTTCCCCATTTCCTGGCTGGAAAACAATAAGAACAAAGTGAGAAAATGCTCCCCACAAGCTATACCCCTTCTTATTGCCTCCCCCTCACACAACTAAATCTAAACAAGGTTTAAAGCTTAGGTCCATTAGAGCAGTGACTTGACCTTTTCTCCTGTCACTCTGACCTTGACTGCAGTGACTTGACCTTTTCACCTGTTGCTCCGACCTTGACCCATTAAAGGGTAGAACAGACAAACTCGTATTTGATCATCTCAGTATTAGAAGTGTTGCATAATAACAACATAGGGAAAATAATATTTATTAAAATTAACAGATTATTTTGGGTCTCCTGGATTTCATCGTAAACATGATGTACTTAATACATACTAACATAATGAATGATTTCAAAAATAAACTTTACAAGGACTTTTCAAAAATGGCTATTGAGATTGTTTATAAGCATACCCATCTGCGCGTGAGAGAGGCTGACAATTTGCGGACCATTGGAGTGAATGTGGGTCTGTTTTCGGGGATGGGGTTCCAGCACTGCTCCATACACTGGCACCTGTGGAATCACAAACAATATCACGATAATCAGAAATAGGTAACTTATACAACAACTGGGAAACCTAATCAGAATAAAGATTACTCTGGTTCAATTACACCAAGATGTAAAACCAACACACCAATGGAAAGAAAATGTGAGCTGAATTATTATCACCAAACAACCAAGCTCTCTCTGAATACTGTGTAGTTGTAATACCACAGGGCTAATATTTCCTGTTTGTCCCAACTGGAACTTTTTTGTGGGGGTTACATTTGGTGCAGCACCACCTAGTCTAAACTTCGTGGTCATTGGTACTTCTATGAAGTGTACCAGGTACATCCAGATTACAGGTAAGTAAGATAAACACAGGACAACAATATAACCAATTTATAGGTAAGCTTTGTTTAACTTTCAATAAGAGCATGTACATTGGAATGTGATTTGTTTTACTTATGGTGTTCAACAGCCCTGGTAGGATACGGTTTGAAATCAAACTGTTATTAACACATTTTTTGTGCGTATATACATCTTGTATGTATATTCATGGATGTAATAATTTGTGGTAAAGATATTACTAAGCAATCTTTGATAGCCATGAATATCGTGAAATGAAGTCCCTGTGAATAGTACAAAAAGTTGTACAGTATGACCGAAGTATTTTTCGATATGTGACATGAACTTGGCCAAAATTACTCAATCATTTGATGATGCTATCAACACATTACTGCCACAGAAATGGACCTGTAGACTTAACAGGTAAATATACTGTTAGTACTGGTACATTACAACAAACTTACAGAAATGGATCTGTAGACTTAACAGATAAATATACTGTTAGTACTGGTACATTACAACAAACTTACAGAAATCTGTCGCAGTCGATTGGAATTGTGAGGTAGCCAATGGGGGCCATCAAGGGCCGGCCGGGCCTGGAGCCTCTTGGATCAACAGTACTAGCCCCAGGGGTGCTATGATTATTAGGACTTGTCCCAGGAGCTGTATGGTCCCCAGGAGTGGCCGGGGGGCTACCTAGTCCTGGGGTGCCCTGTAAATGTGTGCTGCTACCAAGAGTAACCACTTCCCATAGCAACACACCTATTCCCCACCTGTAACAGGAAATCATACTTGTAACAATGGGATACAGTAAAATGGTCTGGAGATACAAACTAATACATACCTTATTTAAGTAATACACCTCCAACAATCCTTTGTGGATCATACTGTCGTTATTACTTATGAGACATTATTCATTTATGTATATTCTATTGTTGTATGATTATTGATTTCTGTATAACTAATACATTAGCATAAAATAGATGGATGGATTTGATAACCTGTACCTCAGTGAGATTGGGTTATCTCATCAAGGCCTAATCCCAACCAAAGTACAGGCTGAGGTTGGGATGGTACAAGTTTCTCTTGAGCCTCTGTTTTATATGGCTTCTGCACTACTGAATGTTAATCCCTGTTTGTATACTTCCACGTAAAAAATGTAGTCCTTGAGAAGAGAAACATGTTTCATGATGTAGTTTATATTATATATAATAACACCAGAACAATACATTAAATGACGAAGTAGAATATATTAATGTATGTTATTAATTTGTTTAAGCCTGTGGATCAATATAATGATGTGCAAAATTTGGTGTCAAATATCACGTTAAGGTGCCTAGACAAATCAGACAGATAAAACTAAATCAAGTACAGGAAATAATGTGGGATATCCCTGTCTCAGATACGATAGAAACAATTAACTCCAATTGAAATCCCACTATACACAGGAAAACTCTTCAAGTTAATCAACTTAACCATGTTCTAATAGATAAGCAGATTTTAATGAGTTTCTGGTCTTTTTTGCTTGAACTTGTGAACATAAAGGGAAATACATACATGTCTGTGTAATGTGAATATGTATCTTCCCCTCGAGCTTCGGGTGGCATCCAGGCTGCATATCTCTGGGGCAACTGGCACAAAACACAAGTTATAAAATTACAAGGATGTCAAGGAAATTTAAAAAAAAATAGCATTACAAATCAAACAAGGCTAAAGGATAGTAGTTCTGTGCTGTAGTCTGTATCATCACATTGATTTACATCTAATTTAAATGTAATGAACATATTGTTTTTCTCTTCACAAAAAACTGTACTGATTATTTTTGTAAAGCATTAGGATTTACTGTGGAAGTCAATCTAGGAAAGGGTCAATAACTGTACTGGTATTTCTAATGTTTTTAGTGGTATAAAATAACCATCTCTTTACTGTTTGTTTCTGGAAAAAACTGCTAAGTTTACCTCACAAATTTAAAACACTACACAGTAAGTGTAGACTTGATAGATATGTTTAATACTAGCGCTATGAGAAGTTGACTGATGAAAGTTCAACATGGTATAGAAGTTTTGGTATCGTAAGTAAGACGGTTACCTTTCTGGCACGGATCGTTCCATTTTCTCTAACTGCATCTCTGGTCTTGATGGCAAAGTGGAAGTTGGCAAGTTTAGCTGTGTAGTCATTGTCGAGGTAAATATTCTGGGCGCCAACAAGACGGTGTATAATCTAAAGAACACATAATAAACCTTTCTGAATATCAAAACTAAAAAAAAATAAAAAAAATGATCAGTTTTATATCTTGTATGTATTTTTGAAAAATATTATCTTAAATGAAAGAGGTCGAACAAAATTGATGTAATAATGAGCTAAGATTAGTATTTGTGTAATAATGAGCTAAGATTAGTATTTGTGTAATAATGAGCTAGGATTAGTATTTGTGCTGGCCAGTGTTCTTTGTTCCTAGTTTTTCAAGACATCCAATGTATCAGTAATGTCTAAAGAACAAGACTGGCACAGCAGATACACACTTGACGAAGAGATATTCAGCAATGTATACATTGTCACATATACCTTATTGTTGTGAAGAAATACAAGAGCATGTAAAATATCCACCACAAATTTAATCAGTTCCATGTAGCATAGCTGGACAGTGTTGGAGGACGGGTCACTTGATGACCGCTTCAAATTGGTCAAGTATTTCTTCAGGTCTCCACATCCACAAGCTTCAAACACACTGTGTATGAATCCTGTAAATGATCAAAATTCTCCCTAAAGTCTGTGTGCTGGCACTACTTTAATGACACATGCTATTTTTTCTATTTTACTCTTGTATTTCAACTGAGTTTGAGTTTTATCCATTGTTGAAAGAAATGAAAGTTGATATGTGCCTCCCATTTCAATATTTGGAATCCCCTTTTTTCTCTTTTTCCTACACTTTTCCTGTAGGACTTTATTCAGTTTCTCTGTATAATCTACTGTTTGAGACTGTTGTGTTATTTACAGAATTACATTAGGGTCTACTGAACTGGCTAACTTAGTACAATACCTTTACATCTGAAACAACAGATGCAATGATAATGATATACACGGATGTATATATACATATACATGTAGTGGATAAGTTTTTGATAAATTTTATGATCTGGAATATTTGCCGACATTAAATCTGTTTGCCCACTCAAAATGTTCATAATATAACTGACTGACAACAAAGATGTTTTCCAACCACCTCCCCCAACAATGGTATGGTCATCCTAGTAATTTTATAACTCCATTTAAACAATGGAATTACGACATGATGTATTGAACTTGTAATTTAGTTTAAATATCAAAATGGTATATAGCGATGTTAACCTTGTCAATAATGAGGCATTAAGGCTGATTTTTTTTAATACAATAGTTTACAATAATGCTATAAAAGGATTTATTATCCAAAATTCATCTATAAACCTAGGTCATGTGGAGCTTAACTTCACTTTTACTACCTGTGAACCTAGGTCATGAGGAGATTATTTAAATGAGATGCCATTTCATAATATTCTGTGGTATTTTGAGCTAGACATAATATAAACATTTCAAAGGAAAAGTGCTGTATAATGTTTACAACATGTAGCTCTTTGTATAACAACACTAAAGGTTACCAACACTTCAAATAAAGTTACCCAGGAATTGATTCACATTTACAGGTAAAAGAAGTCAGCAGAGAATTTAACTATGATTTTTTGTGGTTTCTCAGAGACACAATGATCTTGTTTTGAAGCTGATGTGCCTCTCTACAGCTAGTAAAATAGAAAGTACGCTCCACATGACCTGGTATATAAATAAATTTGAGATATTATGTAATAATATAGCATTCAATTAGATGGCAAAAGAGATTGACTTCTTATAATGCTGTGAATTTTAAGATTTTAAGAAATCTACCTGTATGGGTGTAAACATGATTTAAGTAATAGTCAGATTGATCATTTTTGAATTATGGTCGTGAACAACATCATAAATTTGAGCATTTTAAATTCTCTGGCTGTAACTATGGACTGCTCAGTATGACTTTCAGAACCATTGTGGAGTTTGAGGAAACCTGATTTGTTTACCTGTGGTTTTAGAGAGTTTATTAACTCAATCACCCCTGAAGACACATTTGAACTATTCCAATTCAAAGGTTTGAGTAGTTCATTATGACATTTCAGGGGTACCACTGACTATAGGGAAACCCTTGAGGTTGTCAATAACTTTCAGATATAGTTTGTTGACATTATGTTACAATTCCATTTATTATTTCTTTTCATTTTAATTTGCAAGAAATAAACAATTTTAATAGGCCTAATAGGTTAAATGTTTCCTGTAAACATTGACGATCATTTCCAACACAGCAGTCATTCATACTTACGTATTGGGCTATTTGATAATTCATTTAAATGCACAAATTTTTCTGACAAATGGGTTATTCATTCAGGCTAGGTCTAATGTACTCACTTTCATTTTCACATAAACCTATGTAGGAGAGGATGTTTCTGTGGAGATCTAGGGTGCGAACCACCTCAACTTCATGAAGGAAATCAGACTGGAGTCTTCTCTGGGTAGCTGTTGACATAATAGAGAAAAGACCAGGTATTGAAGTGCTGTTAAAATGTAATAGTACAACCAAACTTTACCACAACGTAGTGTAATTCACAGGGCTTTCCTTACTTTTAAAGCAAATAAATAATAATAAAATAATAATATACAACATTTGATATAGCGCCCTATCTAGCTAACATAAGCCACTCTAAAGCGCTTTACAGTACATATATATACAATTAATACAATTAGGATATACAATTTTTGAGGAATTCGAAGGAGCTGCCTTATCAGGCGCTAACTACTAGTCCTATGCCACCTGGCTAATATCTCCCCATGTGTGTATGCCTGCGTGTTTGCTGGAGATGTATTGTGTTCTGTTTGTAGTGGGACCGTGCTTCCAATGGCATCTTTTATAGTGCCACCTCACTTGAATGCTAAATCACAGATACCGCAACATCCACCCCAGACCATTTTATACTCCACCTGGGTTGTTGGAGTTGTGTGGGCAGGAGAAAAACACTTTCTCTGATATTCCATGCGTGCGACGACTTCGGGGATCGAACCCCGGCCACCTGCGTGGAAGGCCGAAATGTTAACCACTCGACCAATCCGCCCAAATAGTAATTTTAGCTGGTCAGCTTTGACAAATTTCCATACCGAAATTTAGTTTTTTAGACAGTTACATGTAATTTGGCCATCCCAAGCCCCTTATTTAACCACTGAACAAGGTATACATTTACTCAATTATGCTTTTTCAAGGAATTTATTTTTAAATAAATTAAACCAGTCACATATCTATTATAAAGTCATGATGTAAAAAGTGATTTGTACTCTTTCTTAGCATTCTGCTGCATATAAATGGTTATAAACTTCCTTGGTGAAATGTATATTTGTGCTGTGACAGGTTGGTTTATAGTTTATTAAGGAAACATCTGGAGGTAATAAAAGGCCCCTGTAAACATCAGACCAACAGAGCCTTTACTATCATAGTGGACTGTGACCTTCACTCAGAATGTTTACTATAAAAGTAGACTGTAAGTGACCTATACACAAAACCTTAACCATTACACCACTAAGACAGCACCTTACTATCATAGTGGACTGTGACCTTCATTCAGAATGTTTACTATAAAAGTAGACAGTAAGTGACCTATACACAAAACCTTAACTATTACACGACTAAGACAGCACTTTAAAACAGAACCTTGACTATAATAGTAGACTGGGACTGACCATTAAATAAACAAGAGGCCCATGGGCCTTAACGGTCACCTCAGTCCTACAATATTTATTTTTGTTGTTGAACTATGTACCAATTTGAGTACAAAATAGTTAAGTATAACGTTAACTTAAGTTTGTCAGGACCATGAGCTGATCATTCCTAGACCAAGTTTCATTTAGATCGGCCCATTGGAACTTGTTTTTAAGTTTGAATTAGTTATTTTCAAAATAGCGGACATGGCAGCCAAATTGTATTTCTGATTGACCCGAAAAATAACAACACTTTGTCAGGACCATAAGTCAATCATTCCTACAAAGTTTCAGTTCAATCGGCCCAGCAGAACTTGACTTTAAGTTTGAAATTGTTTTTTTCAAAATGGCGGCCGTGGTGGCCATATTGGATTTCTGATCGACCCGGAAAATAACAACACTTGGTCAGGGAGATGTCAGTAACCTTCCCATGAAATATAAATGAATTCCCTTTGCCAGTATTTCAGCTTAAGTTGAAAAATGTTAATGGACGACGGACGACGAACTATGACGGACGAAGACGGATAGCAATAGGTCACTTGAGCTAAAGCTCAGGTGACCTAAAAACCTTGACCATTTCTGTGGACCTAGGTTGACCTTCAAACCAGATTCTTGACCATCACAGTTGATGGAGACGGACCTTTAAAACAGAATTTGATCAATGACAGTTGACTGTAACTGACCTTTACACAAAAGCTTGACCATCACAGTGGATTGTGACTGTGTGTGTTGAAGTCTGCCAATTTTGACCATGTAGAACAGTCCTTTCATCTCTGTTGTCTCAAGCTGGAGGTCAGCAGGATCAATGGTCAGATTACCCACTCTGGCTGAAGGGGGACTGGACATGAGTAGGTCACTTCCTTCTACAGAAGTCTTCCTTAAAGATGCCTGTAAATCAGAGAAAAGATACAGATATTGTTCCTACTGATACTTTTGTTTGTCTTTGTCTCTATTATATTTTTTTTTCTATTTTGATTCATATGTTTATCTTTGATGAACTAGAAGAAAAATATGAAAACTATAAATTTGGTTCATTTTTTACAAAATGTACATGCTTTATTACCCATTTTGGAAAATGAGGAATTGGGAATGACATTTTTTTTAACATTATTTACTAGGTAAATAAAAGAGTAAAGTGTTTAACATTATTTACTAGGTAAATAAAAGAGAAAGTGTTTTACATTATTTACTAGGTAAATAAAAGAGAGAGTGTTTAACATTATTTACAAGGGAAATAAAAGAGAAAGTGTTTAACATTATTTACTAGGAAAATAAAAGAGAGAGTGTTTAACATTATTTACAAGGTAAATAAAAGAGAAAGTGTTGAACATTATTTACTAGGTAAATAAAAGAGAAAAGGGTTTAACATTATTTACTAGGTAAATAAAAGAGTAAAGAGTTTAATATTATTTACTAGGTAAATAAAAGAGAAAGTGTTTAACATTATTTACTAGGTAAATAAAAGAGAGAGTGTTTAACATTATTTACAAGGTAAATAAAAGAGAAAGTGTTTAACATTATTTACTAGGTAAATAAAAGAGTAAGTGTTTAACATTATTTACTAGGTAAATAAAAGAGTAAAGTGTTTAACTTTACCTAGTAAACATTATTTACTAGGTAAATAAAAGAGAGAGTGTTTAACATTATTTACTAGGTAAATAAAAGAGTTAAGTGTTTAACATTATTTACTAGGTAAATAAAAGAGAAAGTGCATCAGTGCACACAACTGAAAGCTGAAGAGCTGCAGTCAACAAATGGCCGCCCACCTGGTAGTTTTGACGGTCACCTTGAAGATCACTCTCACTCTTTTTCTTCAGAGCACAAGCTCCGGGACACCTGCCACGTCGGTGACACACCGCGCCCACCACAATGACAATGATTGTTAGCAGTACACCGACTGTGGCGCTGGTCGAGATAGCAATAGTGCTTCGCTCACTGTCCGGTTCCTGTGTGTAATGCACAATCCTCAGCGACTCTGGAATATAAATTATACATGTACCCTGTCTAACATTTACATTACATAGCAGAACCGTCACTGCATCACAAGAAAAATTTGTATTTCATTTATACATTATTTTGGGGTCTGTTTGCTATATATAGTACATGTGAACTTGAGTCTATAACTTGTACTGTTTTGAAATTTGCAACAAGGAATACTCTGAATGTAAATACACAATGATTGTTTCATGTTACATCATGAATCTTATTGCTGTCAAGTATCCAGGTGACTCTCCCTTTTATATCACACAGCCATCAAGTATCCAGGTGACTCTCCCTTTTATATCATACAGCCATCAAGTATCCAGGTGACTCTCCCTTTTATATTATACAGCCACCAAGTATCCAGTTGACTCCTTTTTATATCATACAGCCACCAAGTATCCAGGTGACTCTCCCTTTTATATCATACTGCTACCAAGTATCCAGGTGACTCCCTTTTATATCATACAGCCACCAAGTATCCAGGTGACTCTCCCTTTTATATAATACAGCCATAAAGTAGCCAGGTGACTCTCCCTTATATATCATACAGCCACAAAGTATCCAGGTGACTCTACCTTTTATATCATACTGCTACCAAAGAATTCAGCCATCAAGTATCCAGATTACTCTCCCTTTTATATCACACAGCAATCAAGTATCCAGGTGACTCCCTTTTATATCATACAGCCACCAAGTATCCTGGTGACTCCCTTTTATATCATACAGCCATCAAGTATCCAGGTGACTCCCCCTTTTATATCATTAAGCCATCAAGTATCCAGATGACTCCCTTTTATATCCCCCAGCCACCAAGTATCCAGTTGACTCCCTTTTATATCGCACATCCTTCAAGTATCCAGGTGACTCGCCCTTTTATATCATTCAGCCACCAAGTACCCAGGTGCCTCCCTTTTATATCACATAGACATCAAGTATTCTGGTGACTCCCTTTTATATAATACAGCCATAAAGTATCCAGGGGACTCCCCCTTTTATATCATTCAGCCACCAAGTATCCTGGTGACTCCCTATTATATCATACAGCCATAAAGTATCCAGGGGACTCCCCCTTTTATATCATTAAGCCATCAAGTATCCAGATTTCCCTCCCTTTTATATCATACAGTCATCAAGTATCCAGGTGGCTCCCTTTTATATCACATATCCATCAAGTATCCAGGTCACTCCCTTTTATATCATACAGACATCAAGTATCCAGTTGACTCTCCCTTTTATATGACATAGACATCAAGTATTCTGGTGACTCCCTTTTATAACACACAACCATCAAGTATCCAGATGACTCTCCCTTTTATAATTATCACACATCCATCAAGTATTCAGGTGACTCCCTTTTATAACACACAACCATCAAGTATCCAGATTTCCCTCCCTTTTATATCATACAGCCACAAAGTATCCAGATAACTCTCTTTTTTATATCATACAGCCAACAAGTATCCTGGTGACTCCCTTTTATATAACAAAGCCACCAAGTATCCAGTTGACTCCCTTTTATATCCCACAGCCACCAAGTATCCTGGGGTCTCCCTTTTATATCACCCATCCATCAAGTATCCAAGTGACTCCCTTTTATATAACAAAGCCACCAAGTATCCAGGGGACCCTCCCTTTTATAATTATCACACATCCATCAAGGATCCAGGTGTATCGCCCTTTTATATCACATATCCATCAAGTATCCAGATGACTCTCCCTTTTATATCACCCATCCATCAAGTATCCAAGTGACTCCCTTTTATATAACAAAGCCACCAAGTATCCAGATTACTTTCCCTTTTATATCACACACCCATCAAGTATCCAGGTTACTCTCCCTTTTATATCACACAGCCACCAAGTATCCAGGTGACCCTCCCTTTTATAATTATCACACATCCATCAAGTATCCAGGTGACTCTCCCTTTTATATCACACAGCCACCAAGTATCCAGGTGACCCTCCCTTTTATAATTATCACACATCCATCAAGTATCCAGGAGTATCCAGATTACTCTCCCTTTTATATCATACAGCCATCAAGTATCCAGGTGACTCTCCCTTTTATATCATACATCCATCAAGTATCCAGGTGACTCCCTTTTATATCACACAGCCACCAAGTATCCAGGTGACTCTCCCTTTTATATCATACAGCCATCAAGTATTCAGATTACTCTCCCTTTTATATCACACATCCATCAAGTATCCAGGTGACTCCCTTTTATATCACACAGCCACCAAGTATCCAGGTGACTCCCTTTTATATCACATAGCCATCAAGTATCCAGGTTACTCCCTTTTATATCACCCAGCCATCAAGTATCCAGGTGGCTCCCTTTTATATCACACAGCCACCAAGTATCCAGGTGACTCTCCCTTTTATATCATACTGCTACCAAAGAATTACATGTAGCCTTCCTGGGGTATTGGAGAAAAAATGTCCCTACTTTCAAACAACTATCCATCTCATCTCTCATATTTTTCCCTTGTTCTCCTTTTTGGAGAATATTTTTCTTGTATCTCTTCCTTTGAAGAATTTCTTTGTATTTATCTATATTTAAATTCTTTTTCTTAACTTACAATTTTCATTTGTATTACATGAAAACAAAGTTTTCTTCAAAATTTTGCCTCCTCCAACCAAACAAAACTGCAGCAAACAAATATTTCCTTTCAAAATGCAATGGACACATTCAAGGGCCCTACCGGTCTGTTTTGTGTGACCTGTTCTCCTGACTCTCGACCATAATTAACACACTGAAAAAGTTTCTAAATAAACATAGCATGTGACATACAAAAATGGTATCATCAATTATCTGAAACCTCAAAAATTGTAAATTAAAGGCGACAATAACAATATATTTGATCTCATTATACAAAGCTTTGAGCTGATCAGATGATACTCACTGCGTTGACAGTTGTAGTTTGTCCAGCCATCGATACACCCCAGCAGACATGTGCCATTAATGGCGCCGCACAGAGTGTTGTCCTTACAGTTACTACACGATAACTTACAGTCACGACCAAAACGTCCTTTCTGGCAACCTGCAACACCAGCATTTAACCGTAAAAATTCAATGTTTAAACAAATTCACCAAAACCTACATAGCTACATAGCAAAAGATACAAGCTATAAAACAGCTTAAGGCTTTGAGTAGTCGGGGATAAGTCTAGAGTTTGAGAAATACGGGGTATTCGAGCAATGGCTGTTCGAGTAATCCGAGTTTAATTTACAAAGAATATATATAAGAACATGGTCGAATCAAGCAAACTGTTCCAGGAATAGGGGGAATTAGAGTAATGTGGGTTAGAGTAATGTGAGTTAGAGTAATGTGAGTTAGAGTAAGTGTGGTTTTACTGTATTGAGGATCACTCGAATGAAATACTTGCCATGAAAATTAAGTGGTCTAAGGTACACTTGAATGGATTACACATTAGCTTACTGCACATTATTTAGTGCAAAAAGTCCTAAGAATTATATAATCCTGCTAAACCATGACACTGAATCACCCACATTTCAAGAGAATTTTGATTTGGCGTGCAGTTTACAGTGTTCTCCCCAGGCCAATACAGTTGATGCTGCCCACAATCATATTTTTTGCATTTTATTATCTTACTATTAATTCATTTTTTCCAAATAATTGTGTTTATTTTGTACAAATATATTATGATGTCCAATATTGAGAGGCCTATTCTGTATGTGCAAAAAGTTCCTCCTCAAATATATTTTCTTATCGAAATGGTTTTCCTGAGCGCTGGGGAAAACATTGATAATCAATTCCTAAATTAAGAGGAAAAAGTTGACAAGTACAACCTTGGCCCATCCAACCTAGTTTTCACAGAAGTCAGTGATCTACACTACTGGTATTGGAATTCATTACAGATTAACTGTACTTACTGCTGGCACATTGTTGTCCGGTGCGACCCACTTCACAGCCTTGGGTACACACTCCAGTTCCTTGAGCACATGTGTCATTGTAACAGTACTGGCACACCTCTTCACACCTGTTGCCATAGAAACCCTTCTTACAGCCGAGACAGAAGCCCAGGTCACGCGTACAGTTCTTCAGACACTTGGGGCTACACTCCACATCACACTGGTTCCCGTAGTAGCCAGGCCCACAACCTTGAGTACAGTACCCTGTGAAACGGTGACATGTCTGATCCATACAGTTGGAATTGCAAACTTTCTGACAGCTGCTCCCATAGAAACCAGCTTCACAACCAGATACACAAGTTCCTTGTTCATCGCAAGTTTGAAATAGACAAGAGTCGCTGCATTTGTTGGTACAGTATTCGCCATAGTATCCTTGTCGGCATGGTACAGAACATTTACCATCTCCTTGATGGCACATGTCACAGTTCTGTGAGCATCGTTTATTACAATCTGTACCATAATAATTACGTTTACATCCATAGGAACAGTTTCCTGTCAGGTCACAGATGTCATTATAACAATTATCATGGCATGTAATGTTACAGAACGCTCCGCGGTAACTAGGAGGACATCCATCCGAACACTCTCCAGTGTCCTTGTCACAGTAAAGAAAGTTACTGTAGGAATTTCTTTTGCAAAATTCACTACATTTCAATTCACACCGTGGTCCATACCAACCTGGTTCACAAGCACCACATGTATTGTTTTTAAAATCGACACAGCTGCGACAATGGATTGGACAACTGGACATACACCACGTTCCGTACCATCCTTTCTGACAGCCCTGTAGACAATACCCATTTGTTTCATTACATGGAATATTTGCACAATGACCACACATGGTATCACACTGGTTACCATAGTAGCCGTTCTTACAGCCACCAATACAGGAGCCATCTGAAATGTTACATCCATTTGTACAATTGGGTGGGCAGTGAGAACAATTCGAATCTTTTGAACTCCAATAAAATCCGTTTTCACAAATCTCACAATAAATGTGATTCTGATTAAAGTCTTCACATTTCCTACAATTTGAGATACGACACATCTTGTTGCATCTATCTCCATACCAGCCCTCTTTACACCCAGAAACACATTTTCCATTCTGGCCATCACAGGATGTACTGTCGAGGCAGGTATCACTACATTTCTCACACATTCCATGGGAGGTGAAATATCCGTCATTACACACTTGGCATTCCTTGACTTTCTGTGTTCCATGGAACACTTCTCTACATTGGGTACAGTTGTCTACAGGGCAGTACTTGTCACACAGGTAACCAAACCACCTGGGTTCACAGCCATGATTGCAAATCCCGTTGGACGAGTTACAGGCTAGTTGTCCGCCTATGCAATGGTCACTACAATTGGTACAGTTATTGATATAAGGGTTCCAGTATTTCCCCTTTACACATTCAGAACAATAAGATTCATACTGGGTATATGCACAAGATAAGCAGTCAACAAATGAACATTTCTGATGCTCACATTTTTCACCATGATGATTTTCTTTACAACCGAAAATACACCTTCCATATCTGTCACATTTCTTGTTCTTACATGTGTCACTACACTGCTGTAAGCAGTCTGGGCCATAATGTCCGTCCTTACATCTTGTACAGATTTCCTTTGAGTTGTTGTACATGCAGGCCTTACAGTATAAGATTGAGCACACCTGACCACAAGCTTCTCCAAGGAAACCATCATCACAACCATACAGGCAGTGCGAGGTTTCTTCTCGGCAAAATTCCTCACCATAGCGGCAGTTCTCACTACAATGAGATTCTGAAAACAAAATTGGATAAAAAAATAATAATCGTGGAAAAAGTCAAGCATTGTTTTGCTCAGATTACGAGTTGTCAACGTTATAAATTTATTTCCCTTACTGTGCAGTGTAGGGAATCACGATTCTTTAATTTGTTTCTCCAAGGTAAAGCATTTTTAAACTTGAGCATGTGACCAAGTGCTATCATCCACTCAGACATGCTGTTATAAAGAGGAAATATATTAATATATGTAGGGTTATGCAGAGTTTTTTCTCACTGTAGTATTTTGAGAATGGGTCCCATGTCTTTGGAATAAAGAAATTTAAGTTGTGGCAAACCTAATTGGGAATTTTCATAAACTACATTGCTTTTTTTTCACAATTCATCTCTAAAAGACAAAAACCTTTATTTATGACAGATTATATCATCTTAGACATTGCTATTGAATTGTCATCTGAATGAAAGCTGACAATCACAAAGGGAAATTAAAAAGGATACTTTAAAATATATTTTGGGAAATAATGGCAACCTATTTGGAATGGGCCCCAGAAAAAGCCCTGTTATGTGACATAATGTGTTATGTCTACTTGCACCTGTGTGAACTGTACTCATGTAATATTGTGGTGTTAACTCTAACTTCGGACATGCATGCTTGAAACATGCGGAATGCAATTGATGAGTAGCGCCCAATATTCCCCTTACTTTCACTGTGCCTGTGCAGGAAGTTTTCTTGTTAGATTGCATACCTCAGATTAATAAGTCTCCAACTGTTACTCATAAGAGGTCACTGATTTGTCCTTTACGGTGATCTAGAGCTACCTAGGGAGCTAGGAGCCCGGTAGGCATTATGACAGTATGGCAGGAAATATCTGAATCTAAGTGTGTATTTGATTTGGTATGGATATGAGTGTGTATGTTTATATCAGCATGCACAACTCAGAATGTATATAGTCTGTTTTATTAATGTGGTGTTTACATTTCCTTAGGTTACATTGGCAGGTGGCGCAGAAATATTCCACAATAAACGAACATACTTGGACTGTTCTATAAGCAGAGTTATATTATTATACCTCTACTTATTTTACACTATATAAAAGTAACCACATAAACAAGCTATTTCCCCTCTAACTGCATGCCAGGGAAATAGTTCGTGGGGTGCGGTAGTTTTGAAACTATTTCCCTCGGAAAATGCGGGAAATTGAGTGACGTCGTAGGCGGGGCCTGACCGAAAATTGACCAATCAGCGCAATCGAATGACGTCGGCAATTTCCAGCCAGCGGAGCTGGTACTTTCTGGACAGACCTTCACCTCGCATTGTTGTTGACAGACGACAACAAAAATGGCGACCCCCAGGTTTTCTGTGTTGGACGAGAGCGAGTTGTCGGACATATTGGAGGCAAAAGACAGTTGGCTAATTTTCAAGCAAAAACTGTGATTTATTGTTTATTGTACATGTGATATCCTTTATTTCATGTTATTGCGAAAACTGTTTTTTTCTGATGTTGATGGTCAAGAAAATTTTAGTTTTGTTAATAAAGTGTCCCAACTGTTGAAAATTTGTTGTCTAATAATATTTAGAATATTGTAAGGGAGTGTTTGTATCGGTATAATAAAACAGTTGAAGTATGGGTATTTCGGGATATAGCAAGTTTATGATCCCCCTCGTCCAGGACTATTTCCCTCGACTTCGCCTCGGGAAATGGTCCTGGCCTCGGGTGATCATAAACTTGCTATATCCCTCATACCCATACTTTAACTGTTAACTAAAAATGCGAAGTTTCAGAGAATAAATAACAATGTATGAAGAATATTATGCCCTTCTTTGACATGTCCACTGAATTACATAGCGTATCTTAAAAGCTACATATGGCTTGACATTGTTTTAGAAAGAAATCACACAAACTAACAATAGTCAGCATTTTAGTTTCGGTATGGTACGTCTAGATCCGGACCCCTCAATCTACACGTGACGAATATTCCTGAGGTCAGCCTCAGTTCAAATCTGTTTTCAAAATCGTTTTCTTTCCAGATTCAAACGCTTCAACCAGATACGTGAATGTAGCCTGATGTCATCTTTTGTTTTGCCATATAATAAAACCACTGATTCAAGGAAGAACTGTGAATTGTTTCTTTATATAGTTGGTAACGTGGAAAAACTCTGTTTGACATTTAAAATGATTGTTACAATTTTTGAAATGCCTACTGATATAAAATTACAATGGTGGGTAAAATTTCATATTGAATTATTTGCAAATATTGGTGAACTTTACAATACTACACAATAATATCATGATCAACAGAGTACAAAAAGAGACCCCTATATATCCTAGTGCTCTGTGTTGCATCTCCAATGAACAAGGGTTCTAACTGTTTGATATTTTTCTGACTTGTGAGTAACTTGCCCATTTACTATAGCAAAATTTGATTTATGAAAATAATACATCATAACTTTCACTTCTTATATATTTCAAAGAAGAGATGCTATCCAATGTGTTAATGGTCATGATATTTGTAATGTTAAAACTTTTCTGTAACATGACCAAGAATAATTTCAAAATGTTCTCATTTCCTAAAAAGATCTGCTCCCTATAATTGTCTTAATCGTACTTATTTAAGGAAATGCAACTTTTGTAACAGAAGACAAATGCAACAGCCAGATCAGGAATATAATCTAATTAAGACCTTTAAACTTTAGACGGCCACTCTAGTCAATTGACCTACCTGGTTACAGATGATCATGCTTGACCCTAGCCCAAGTTTCCTCTAGCCCTAACATTAGGCTTAAGACTTTTTGACATATAAATAGATGTCTGGTGTGGGGCCAGAGTGCACTGTTGCTTCATGAAAAGTGGAATTCTCTGACACCGTTTGGTATCGGATAGTTATGAGGTGTTGTCAACAAAAATCTACTATGACACAACACATACCTCACATATATCGATAAATGGATTATTTATTGATCCAAATAAGCTCTTATTATCACCAACGGCTGCTAAATTCCATCAGTAGAGTCTTGAATTTTCAATCGTTCAAAATTTCCCACCTGAGCCAATGCCATTTTTGTAGGTCATGGGGTGACTAATCAACAAACCGTAGTGATTCGGATTGAAAACGGGATATATTATTCTTGTTTGGAGATTTCAGGATCGCGTCTTTTCATTGATTAGTCACTCCCCGATACCAAACGGTGTCGGAGAATTCCACGTTTTTATATAGCAGTGCGCTCTGGCCCCACAACAGACATCTATTATGTCAAAAAGGCCCCACACCAGACATCTATTATGTCAAAAAGTCTAAGTCTGGTGTTAGGGCCAGAGGAAACTCGGGCTAGATTGACCCAGTCTAGTTCTGTTACACCCCCCCACCCCCGAGGGTAAAAATTACTACCCAGATTCAGGTATCCCCTGAATTCTAGTAATTTCAGTATCCCATGATTTCTGTATCTAAGAATTATGATGTTCTGGTACTTTTGTAAGGAAGGAAAATAGTAAAAAAGTCAGAGAAAAACATGGCTTCAAAAAACAACCAAAGTACAAGTATTAAAAGTTAAAGCAAGTGCCAAATTACATTTAAAGGGACCCATTCCTACAGTCGGATATTGACAAGCTGGAGAGGATTCAAAGGAAGGCTGCTCGATTTATTTCGCGTGACCACAGAACAAGAACTCCTGGATGCGTCGCCAACATGCTCAGGGACTTGGACCTGCAGACATAATTACAACAACGCAGAAAGAAGCTACGTCGGAGCTTCCTATTCAAGGTGGTGGAGGGGTTGGTCCGGCTATACCATCTCGGCCCTATCTAAAACCATTGAGAATTAAATGCAAAGTGACAGCAAAGAATTTTAACAACTTTATCTCAACAAATGTCATTGAAAATAGTGTAACAAACAATAGCCGCTGTTTTCAAACTATTGCTGTGAAAACAGAAACGCTCAGGATGAACAAGTCCTTGTAAAATCTGTAGAGATTTTTAAATCTCGTCTCCACTCGGACTAAAAACCTCCATGCACTCTCCCCTTCCGTTGATTATATGCCAGAAGTGGTCTTTGTCATGAAGTTGGGTTTATGCAGCACAAATGACAGACTATATATATTACATAATAATTAATAAATAATCACTTAGTTAAAGTTAAGAGAAGGAAAATTTAGTTCGAGGAGAGTCCGAGAGAGAGGTCCGAGCAAGCCAGTGATTGGGCAGCCCCCACCGACAAAGCTTGTTCGGAAAAGGGGGAAAAGAAGAGAAGTGGTAAATTATTAATATGTATAGTCTGTTGAAGTAACTAATTACTCTGCATCTTCAATTTTATAGGTGTGCCTGGAAAGATATGTTTTGAAAGAGTTGAAAGTGGGTGCATTAACGATGTCCGATGGTAATTTGTTCCAGTCTAGTATGGTACGCGGAAAAAATGATTATTGTCTAATTAGTGTTTTTCGAGTATTGCTGTTGATATTGGACCTGATGGGAGTTTCTAGGAATTCTTCTGGCTCGGTGCATCCTGTCAGTCGTGGATATGTATCTGAGAGTGGGTGCATTAACGATGTCCGATGGTAATTTGTTCCAGTCTAGTATGGTACGAGGAAAAAATGATTATTGTCTAATTAGTGTTTTTCGAGTATTGCTGTTGATATTGGACCTGATGGGAATTTCTAGGAATTCTTCTGGCTCGGTGCATCCTGTCAGTCGTGGATATGGCCACCATGCCCTGATGTATTTTTTAGAACATCTTTAGGCGTGCATCTTTCCTACGATTTGACAGGCTGCGCCAGCCAAGAGTATACCTATCATATCTGTTACACTAGAGGTATTCCGAAAACGATTTGACACATAACGGACTCCTCTCCTCTGGACCATTTCTATTTTGTTGATATTATTTTTTGTGTACGGATCCCAAACAGAGCAAGCATATTCTAAAGAGTGTCTTAATTACCAAGGATTTGTAAGCCTGTTCTTTAAATGTTGGTGAGCTAATTTTTAGGTTTCTTCTGATAAATCCTAGAGTAGAATTTGCCTTGTTGCAAATCTGATCTACATGAGAGTCCCATTTCAAATCTGATCTGAGGGTTACACCTAGGTATTTCACAGAATTAACATGTTTTAATATTTGACCATGAAGAGAATAATTAAAAATAACAGGTGATTTTTTCTTAGAAATTGTGAGAGCATAACACTTATCTAGTTGGAAAGCCATTAACCATTTTTTCTCCCAAAGGGCTAGTTTGTCCAGGTCAGACTGTAGGGTCCTTGCATCTTTCTCCGACTTAATTGTCAGATATATACGATGGTATCATCCCGCAAACAGTCTGACCGTGGAGTTCAAGCCAATTGCCATATCATTGATATAAAATAGGAACAGACTAGGCCCCAGTACAGTTCCCTGGGGGACGCCGGATAAAACTGGTACATACTCAGATTTGACGCCTTCAACAAGTACTGATTGGGTTCTATTATTTAAGAAGTTTGAGATCCAGGAAGTAGTTTTATCATCTATGCCATAATGATGTTTGGTAAGAAGAGAGTGGCTGACCTTATCAAATGCTTTGGAGAAATCCATAACTAACATATCCGATTGTTTTGAGATGTCAAGCGTTTTGGTGATATCATAAACAAATTCTAAAGGTTGTGTTTCGCAGGATCTGAATTTTCGAAAACCATGTTGGCGAGGATACAAAATATTGTGATGATCTGAATGTGTCATTGTGACACTATGACACATATTGAAAAGGAAGTAGTGTAAAGATGTGTCCTTTGGTAGGGAACGGAAATTCGACACCATCCTTTCTGACAGACGTTCTAACAGAAGTATAGATGTACTGCTGATCAACCAAGTTTCTGAATATGGTAAACCGGAACCCTGTCTTGCCCTGGCTGAACTGTCAAATATGGGGTCAAATATTGCTTAGCAGTATCGTCTCATCCATTCCCTCAATTACTTACCTTCGCCATTAGATGTCACAATTAGCATCAGTAGAACAAACAAAAACAGTTTTGGAAACGTATACGGGTGTCCTTGTAATGCTTTCATTGTTTTTCATAAAGCTCTGTCTTGTGAATGTTGTCATGTTTTACTCGGAAGTTCTACACGGGTTTCTAATTTTGGAACCGGAAGCGGGTCCGGTGTTTGTGTTTGTCCGATACTGCCGATAGGCCTACTGCAGGTCGTTTGTTGTCGGCTTTCCTACCGTACCTGGGGTATGTATTCTGTTTTGGATAATTCTTTCGACAGATGGAGCTTTACTTGTTTACAACAACATTTTCGTTTAAAAAGAATCGTAACTGATTAGTTAGGAGGGAACCTGTCGTCAACAGGCACAGGAAACAAGATTTTGTTGATGAAACGTTTTCAGTTTTATGTTGCTAGTTTTTTGTTTCCATTAGTAGATTGTATACATGTTAATGACAGTCATCCGTAAATTCATCAGTTTCTGCCGATATGAGTACAAAATCGCGATTGGTTCTTAAGTGCGCGGAAACCGGTAACACGAGTATACTGTTACGCGAAGGCACTGATCAGTATAGCCTACAGTACCCAATATAGAACATTAAGAATATATATATGATGCAGCATTTTTCTTTTGGAATGCAAATGAATGGTATCATAAAACAACTTAATGGTATGTATAATGGTAGGAATAAAGCTACTGCAGCATGCCGGGAGGCGAAAATGAACTTTGAAAAAACAGTGGCTGAGAATGTGAAAAAGGACAGCAATTTTTTTTGGAAATATGTACAGACCAAAACCAAAGTCAAGAGAGGACTGGGTGATCTGACGGATGAAAATGAAAACAATGTTTCGGACAACAAGGAAAAAGCCAATCTATTAAACAGATATTTTTGCAGCGTATTCACCGACGAAAATCTGGAATTAACACCATTATTTGAAAGCCGTAACATAATAACATAATAACATCGAGCTAACAGAAGTTCAAATAAACGATAAAATGGACCTGAAGAAACTAGAAGAAGTCAAATTTTCAAAATCCCCAGGGGCTGACGGTCTACACCCGAAGGTCTTTAAAGAAATTGGAAGCGCAATATAAACCCTGACCAAAATCATCTTCCAGAAATCTCTCGACGAAGGGAAACTTCCAACCCAATGGAAAGCGGCAAACATAACTGCACTTAGCAGCATAAAAAGGGAAGCAGGAAACGACCAGCAAATTATCGTCCGGTGAGTTTAACATCAGTCATTGGAAAATGCTTGGAAAAAATTCTACGTGATAAAATTATGGAACATTTAGAATACAACAACCTTCTAACCAAACACCAGTACAGATTCAGAAAGGGTAGATCAACAACCACACAACTACTCGAAGTCATGGAAATTATCACCAACATTTTGGACAACAAAGAACCAGTGGACATCATTTACTTAGATTTTAAAAAGGCCTTTGATACAGTCCCCCACAATCGTTTATTAACTAAGCTTGAAAGATACGGAATTACTGGAAAGGTATTGGAGTGGATAAAGGACTTTCTTATCGGGAGACAACAACGGGTGATTGTACACGGGGAGGCATCCAAATGGGAGGCTGTAAAATCTGGAATACCACAAGGGAGCGTACTCGGCCCAATCCTGTTTCTAATATTTATTAACGACCTTCCGGAACACATCAATACCATCTTTAAATTATTCGCAAATGACGCAAAGATCATTGGAAAGACAGGTTCTGTGGCAGAGAAAGATTCAATTCAACAAGATCTTAACAACGTCACAAAGTGGTCTGATAAATGGCAGATGTCATTCAACACCTCAAAATGTAAATCAATGCATCTGGGGCATAGTAACCAGGAAAATAACTATTTAATGACAATCAACGGAAGCTCGACCAATATATCACAAGTCAGGAAGAAAAGGATTTAGGAGTCACATTCGACAAAGACTTGAAATTCAGCAAGCACATATCAAGATGTGTGTCAAAAGGTAACCAAATGACCAGCGTTGTCAGACGAACTTTTGAACATCTTGACAAAGAAACGTTCCTAACGGTCTACAAAGCATTGATCAGGCCACATGTAGAATACGCAAGTGACATACAGGGAAAGACTACTAAATCTAGGAATCCCAACGCTCCAATATAGAAGGAAACACAATGATATGGTACAGACGTACAGAATTCTACAGGAAATAGATAAAGTAGAGAAATCCAAGTTTTTCGAACTAGAGGATAACACCAGAACTAGAGGACACCAGTGGAAGCTGAAGAAAGTAAGGAGTAGGATAAACTGTAGAAAAAATTGCTTCTCCACCAGAATTGTGAACAATTGGAACAACCTGACAAGCTTGGTAGTGACTTCAGGAAGTCTGAACATTTTTAAATCCAGACTGAATGACCACTGGAGAAACCTGTCTATTAAATTCACACCTGATTGTTATTAGCTCCAGAAAGACAAATAACTCACAGGTAACCATACGTTACAATTTAGTGATACTGCTAATTTTAACAAATGCAACAATAATAGTTATTGGGGGTATTAATGGAAACCGGCATAATGAAGTTATGAATATTCCACAAATCAATAATTGGAGTTGTGGGTTAGAGAACCGGCTTAACTACCCATAGAGAAGTATAGAGACGAGTATGATCGAACCGCATTCAAATAGAGTGTGGAGACTTCTTGAATTCCAGAATGTGTCACTTTCCCTAGTGTACTTAGTGGATAGAAACAGACAATGGAAGGGTAGTAACATTATTTGCTATAGATCTTCAACAGTCTTAACCTTGGAAAAATGAACATTAAGGTCACGTGCTTATCCGCAGTTAATGTTGCTGGCAGCGGGTTAGTGAAATTGTTTCGCTACCTCAATACGTCTGCATATATATCAGGAATTTTAATTGTACATTGATTAAAAAAAAAATCAAAAAGAATCAACACACTAAAATCGTTAGTGTGAACGAACTTTTAACTATTAAAACTTGTCATCAACAAATATGCGCATACCATAAAGTATCGATGACAACAAGATATAGGACAGTCTCACAAGTCGAAGACTTACAACGACTGGAAGAACAGTGCGAACACCGTGCAAACGTATTTCAAAACCAAAATTATATAGGTTTTATGGAACTCACTCATTCACTGGAGCAAGTTTTATCAGCCTTACTGTACAGTCATATAACCAAGATAATCTTAATCACATATTTCTATTGTAGTATTGACATCTCAATTTGACAGAAATTAAGATATTTCAACTGTAGAATACATAATTCAATAAAAATCCTATTTTCGTAATTTGCAGAATGGGGGAGTAGGTCCACACAAGTTTTTATATTAAGATGTTTTGTGTTTTAGGAGCTAAGATGACAGGATGAGGCCGTTGATGGTGTTGTGTTGTACTCTGGCACTACTGCTGTTGTTTGAAGTTTCAACAGAGGCCGGAGGAGTTATTTATAACTTCAAACGCTACACTTACAAAAAGAAACAACATGTAAGTTTATTTTGTTTCTGTGAATGTGTACAGAAAACACCTAATCAAGCCTTTAGGTGCTCTTTATAAACACAACTTATTTGGCCATTCATTAAATAGATCACATGGCACAAAGTGCTGAGGAGTTTATGGTATGTTGGTTGTCTGTCTGTCATCTTTTTCTTCAAACAACTTCTTCTTAATAGTGGAAAGGTTATCTTAAATAAGATTCATCAATTTGGAAATATGTAATATCAAAGTTTTACTTATACACAAACAATGTACGTATTAAACGTTTTGCAACATTTCAAGACCGACTGGTCCCTTTGTCACACTATGACGGTAAAGAGTATGTACACTATGGGGACCCCGACTGCTTCCTTTCTGATCGGGTTAACTTCTGTCTGTTGTGTCCCACTGCAGAGAAAATATAAAGCAATCCACAAATAAATGATCTTGACCTTCTTTCAAGGTCACAAGTGTAAATGTGTTAAAAACTTTAAGGAACGTCTTTAGAACTTGAAAATGTCTGTTTCAAAATAAATTTAAAATAAATAAATGCCCCCACTGCCATGTGAAATTAGTTTCAGTGTTCTATAAAAAGTTACAACCACTTTGATCTTGATGCCCTGAAATATGCACACACACAAGGTACTACACTAAAAGATGTTATTACCATCCTGAAACACAAGGATGTCAGAGGTATACCCATACTTGACCTTAATATAAAGTTTGATCAAAATCCGTGAAAGAATGAAGTTGCTAAGTGTTTAAATTGAATCAGTTGATGATTTTCTATATATAGCAACAGTGACCTTGACCTTGGAACCATGAAACAACAATGTCCGAAGTATAATTGACCTTTGCATAAAGTTTAACCAAAATCCATGAAAGAATGAAGTTGCCAAGTGTTTAAATTGAACCGGTTATGATTTTCTATATGCAGCAACAGTGACCTTGGCCTTGACCTTGGATCCCTGAAACACAAGGATGTCCAAAGTATACTCATATTTGAAGATAGTATAAAGTTTGACCAATATCTGTCAAAGAATGAAGTTGCTAAGTGTTTACATTGAATCTGGATGGGACGGACATGGGCAACACTATATGCCCTTCCATTTTATGGCGGGGGCATAATAACAATGAGGCCTAGAGTAATGTTTTTGTTCAATAGCATCCTGCTTTTAAAAATATTTTGTCATGATTGCTTAGATATCCACGATATTCTAAATTGCTGCTCATGACTCTCAGATCTATAAATAAACAGTAGCTTACAAGTACCTGTCAGTAACTGAGCGCATGACTGACCCAGACTGTTCTTTCAATCCAAACTTATCACCGAACCTAGGTCAAAGATCTCTCGACTCACTAGGTCAGTGAAGTCAAACCAAGCCTGTAGTGGTTCAAAAGCCCTAGACCTGATAACTGAGGTGTCTATATTATCTTAACCATTGAACTCTCCTACATCACGATTCATTATAGAATTCTTTGTTCAATTTCACAGGATAAGAAGTACAGAAACGCCAAAACAGTGTGTGAGGTGAAGAGCGAGTGCCTACGACAACATGGTGTAGAACAGACAGCCTGTGTGCGCCAGTGTATATCCAAGTTCTGCTACAGCGAGTTGTATGGCCATGACGCAGTAAGTGGAGTTACGGGGACAGTTCATTAGTCGGCTTGTTACCTAAATACCAGTGGTCGCACTACTAGACGTTAAGCATCCCCACACACCATATAATTAAGGAGAGTAACGATTATTGACAGTACAGACCCTGATTTACATGGAGCTTTGTAGGATATCTGAAATTAGTATGGCACAATCACTTTGATCGCATAATGACCCGTGTTAGCCAGTGTATATACCCATGTCATATTTTTGTTTGCGTATTAACACATGTAATATGACATATCAGCACTGTGATTGGTTGTAAGTTAATTGTTTCAATTATGACGTCATGCCTAGGACAAGTACATGATATCACAGACTTATGCACTGGAGTCAAAATAGCTGCTTTTTACATTTCAAGTTGCATAAAAATTGTCGTTTTACACGAATAAATGCCACAAATCTTGATTATGTGATAAAAAGGATCTTACACTCGTTTTCATTTCATATGGAATTTATGAAACTCGTCACAAATTTTTCATTTTAGATCGCTAAATTGAAAGATCCTATTTATATAACTTAAAGTAATATAAGACTTCTTCATATGCAGAGGTGTAGGATAGGAAATTGCCATGCAGAATTGAAGATTTATTGACAAAATGACTATTATAAACACCTATGATCTTTGCCAGCATACAGAATTTTATTTTGTCAAGAATAGGTCATTGAGCAGAAAGAATTTGAACTGCAGCATAGAATTTACTGAAACTGTCTCTGTGATGTTTTACCTACAACTTGTAATTTTGATTACTTTCCAGCTAGAGGAAGGTGAGATCGATGTGCGTCTGAATTCATTCAAAGGATGTTTGGCCCAGGAGAAGAGATCTTCCATATATGATGAATCCGTCAATCATCAGCCCTTGTGATCCATGCAAAAACAATTCCCATAAACTTTTTTTGGTCGCTTAAGTTTTCGATTATTATAAATGAATGTCTTAAATTAATTTCTTGCTCTTTCACAGAATTTCATGTACCATATCTTGTTTAAATTAGTGAGAATGGAAAACTACTTCAGCAGACAGCATCACATAATCATTCTACCCTTGTGTGTTTTTTAACACATTTTGTGGAAATATAAAAACAACTCTTTTGATTGTTTGTATAGATGTTTTATTTCATATGTATGTAAAATATCCATACTAGGTATGTAGCAATAGAAAAGTATGATTTGTTTTTCCTTGTTAGAGATACATGCATATTGTATTGTGATAATTTAAAAACAAGAGAGAAAATGAACACTGGTATGGAAATTAAACATGTTAATATTAGCTTGGTGAGATATGATCCCTTCTCTGAACCATTAAGATTCTTTTCATGATAAATTGAAGGCTTGCTGCTATTCACTTTAAAGCATTACTATGAAATCAGAAGTTTGCAAAATAATTTTTGCTTCAATCATCTTGTATCATCCGCAAAGTGGAGCATAATACACTTCTGATTCTGTCTGAGAAAATCCAAGGCTGCAAAGACGTGTGTTTGTGTCAGAGCGCAACTCTTTCAAGTTGGTTTGTGATAAGAACTGTAAACTGGATCTGAATTATGTAATTGAAATCATCATCAGAAATGATGTCACTCGCCATTTCTAGCATTTACTTGTTAATGAGTTGCTGTGTGTTTTGAGTGTAAAACTGAATGTCAGGGAAAAAGAGTGATAGAAAGAAACAAAGAAATGTTAACGAAACAGTGTTAGTATGTAATAGTGGAAATATAAAGTTTTGTACTTTTGCGGAAACAAAGATTAAAAATTTGGATAAAAATGAGCGTACTCCACGTGTTGATTTAAATCAATCATACTATTATTATAGTGAGGATCCGTATGAATGTACAAAAGGTCCTGTCCAAGATGTCTGACAATGTACAAAAGGTCCTGTCCAAGATGTCTGACAATGTACAAAAGGTCCTGTCCAAGATGTCTGACAATGTACAAAAGGTCCTGTCCAAGATGTCTGACAATGTACAAAAGGTCCTGTCCAAGATGTCTGACAATGTACAAAAGGTCCTGTCCAAGATGTCTGACAATGTACAAAAGGTCCTGTCCAAGATGTCTGACAATGTACAAAAGGTCCTGTCCAAGATGTCTGACAATGTACAAAATGGTTCACAATGACACCTACATCATAAATGTAACTTTTTACATTATAATAATAATCCAAGGCTTATTATAACAAAATATCCCTGACCCATTGTCTATAATAGTGCATTCAAACAAATTATGGATGTGAATTGTCCATGTGGAGTTTGTAATAAATAACACATTCATTGATAACTATGGTATTTCATCCGGTTCCATAGTAAACCTTTAAAACCACATGACAAGAATATGTTGAAATACAACTTTTACAATTATTGTTTGAAATCTCCTTGTTGTTGTCTGATATAGGTCAGTTCGTGATTTCTTCAAGTCGCGCACGTTTGGAGTTCTGTTTTTTCTTGTTTACCACTTTTTCATTTTCTTTGTTGGCAACCACAGAAGAGGACCCAGACCTGGAGTGTTGTACATATCGCGTCACTGTTGAAACGCCATCCACAAATCTTGTCTTGTATAAAACATTGGCATTATTGAACATACCATCCTTCAAGGACACCACAATAAACTGAAAACATGAAAAGATGAAATACCATTTACCTTGCTTTCATGAAAAACGACAATCTTTAAATGTGAAAATGAGGGTAAAAATGTCAATGTTGAAAAATTGTGATCAATCAGATTTTGTAACTTGACGTTAAAGCAGCACAATTGGATCTGATTATCATTGGCTGTAGGTTTAAAACTGTGTATTTTATCAACAGAAGATATGAATTGTAGAATATAAATTTGACCTCAGAGGTTGGAGAGGATAAGTGAGTTCAGTATATATGGGCATGACCAACATGATTCTGACAACAAACAAAAATGTCCATTAAAAAAAATATTTCAATGGAAAAATGTTCACATGGTTCTGAACTGTTTCAACAACTTTGATAAACAGCTTTTTCATTGTCTGGAACACTATCAAATGCTATTAAGAAAGCAATCATAAGCTTTTAGAATAGTTTTGTTTCCAAGTCGTCTTTGAGTTTGATAGTATCTTGATTTTTGCTATTCTCCATCAACATGTAAGAAATCCATCAAAGGAAGTCTTAAGTTCCAAAGTAACTAAAAACAACAAAATAAACTAAAAGCTGCATCCCTTGTATTTATCAAACTAGGTCACAAACAACTATAGGCCTAAGAATTATTTCATTTGACACAAATATCTATTTCTTGATATGATATTTTGCTGCCAAGCTTATTTAACTATTTTTTATATATACCGGTATATATCTTGATAAAGGAGAACATAATTGTTCTATCTGACCTTAAAAACAAGTTCTGGTATATACCTGTGAGTGTTTGAAGTGGGATCGGATCATCTGACCGATGTTCTGTGTGTGCGAGATGTCTAAAGCAGCGTCCACTTCATCCAGGATATAGATTGGTGCTGGTTTGAACAGCAACATGGCCAGAATCAGGGAGAGGGCGATCAGTGACCTGACAGAAAATAAATCATGTGTGAATTGGAACTAATTGTATCAAGAGATCATGGAAAAGACATACATCCAGTAACACTCTCTGATGTACGGCCAATTGGCAATCACTCTTAGATAAATGACATTTCAGAGATATGACAATAATTCTAGTATATAACAATCCTCAAAAATATGAAAATTCCTTATATAGCAATGATTTTTAAATTTTTCATAATTCTCGGATATGAAAAAGATCCTCTGACTGGTATATTTGACAGATCAAAGTGATGCTGCATTGTATACAATAATAGTGAATAGTATTATTATACAATATGTATATTTGACAGATCATAGTGATGCTGCATTGTATAAAATAATAGTGAATAGTATTATTATACAATATATGTATTTGACAGATCAAAGTGAAGCTGCATTGTATAAAATAATAGGGAATAGTATTATTATACAATGTGTATATTTGACAGATCAAAGTGATGCTGCATTGTATAAAATAATAGTGAATAGTATTATTATACAATACGTATATTTGCATACTTGCTTTATATTCAATTTTAATGCTTAGGAAATGGGAAGTTTAAAGAGAAAAGCATGTTTTTTTTTTATCATCAATCATTCGAATTGGAAGAATTGTTTCTGATTTTGAGAAACAATTTTCCCACTTTATTAACCTGGATTAATTTTATGTAGTTTCAGTCAAAATTTAGGAAAAACTCAATCCAGAACCAAGAAACAGTACTTTTGCTTGAGAAATATTTCAACTTCCAACAGATTGTCTAAGTACATGTACAATAAAACACAAAGATGACATGTTATTAACCCATCCCTTAAAGTAATGTCACTGGAAATCAACCAACTGATTAAATCTTGGTAACTTTTAAAGGAAAATACCTTTGACCCCCACTGAGTTCACCAAGGGATTCTTTCCACACATCTCCAAATCCAACCTTGACCTCTAAACCATCTAGGACAGATTGGCCTTCTGGAGGCATCAGTTTGGCACACGCTCCAGGTAACAATGTGGAGAAAATCGAACCAAAGTCCTACAACAACAAAAAATATCAACAAAGGTTTGTTAGGCAAGTTTATTTTCTGTTAATCAAAAAATGAAAATCTATGAGAATTGAACAGGACACGAAGATGGGCAAAACATAACAAGAGTAGCGCGGGGCGGAACAATATACGCCCATCGAATTCCATATAGTGTTTATACTTTCTTACATTGAAATAAGATCTGCATTATTCTAAGAGTGGTTAGCTGACATGCTATAAAAAATGTAGGAGAAAATCTCCAGACAAAACATTAAATACTGAAATGAACAAAGGGCAATCAAGATTGCAAAAATTGCCGATTCATTTTTTTTTTTTACAGGAGACACAACTTCATATCATGCTTATAATGTATACCAAGTTTCAAAGAGATCTGTTGAAAAAATGTAGGATGAGATTGCCGGACAAAAATCAAATACTGAAATAAACAAAGGGCAATAACTTTTGCAAAAATTGTTGAATCAAAATTCTTTTCAAGGAAACACAACATCATATCATGAGTATTTAGCCTACTAAGTTTCAAAGAAATCCTTCAAAAAATACAGGAGGAGATTTCCGGACAAAAAATCAAATACTGAAATGAACAAAGGGCAATAACTTTATGAAAAATTGTCGAATCAAAATTCTTTTAAGGGAGACAGAACTTCATATCATGATTATAATGTATATCAAGTTTCAAAGAGATCGGTCGAATAATGAAGGAGGAGATTGCCGGACAAACAAAAGTTTAAGGCCGGACGGACAACCCCATACCATAATACTTTCGTCAAATTTGACGGGCCAATAAAAACGATGAGGCTTCCTGTTGTCACATGATTATATCCCGGGGCTTCCTGTTGTCACATGATTAAATCCCAAAAGTGTGAACTTTTACCCATTAACTTGATGAATGACCATCCAAATCCGATCAGACGTAAAATTTGATGACACTTTTAGTATGAATATTAACTAAGTGGTACATAAGCTTTATACTTCAGAACTGGTTAAGTGTTACCTTTTATTAGGTTCGAATATCACAAAAATTTATTATCAGATGCAATTTTATTATTCTATGGTGTAAATGTTAACTTACAGCTGAGGGGTTACTAAAATATATTCTAAAAAAACTTTTTTCTATGGACACACACACACACACTAAAAAAGCTATTACCATATATATCTCCCTTTACTAAATGGATGGTATAATTGAGAAGGAATAAGAAACATCATCATGGAAATAGTGAAGACTTTTTTCTAACTAATTTCAAGTTAAATAGAAATATAAACTTTTACCTTGTTGACCTGCTCCCATGCCTTTTTTAACGCCTCGTTTTTCTTTTGATCTAGTTCTGATATGACTGCAGCAATCTTAGCTTTATCGTGTAGTACAATCTTTCTCTTCTTTATCAAGTCAGCATACTGGAAAAGAGATTTAAAATTATCAAGAATTGTTGTACGTGTTTGAAGAAATACCAGAAGTATGATATTACTGTAAAGACGGCATCTGATTTTATAAATTAGCTTCCTTAAAGGGACTTTGACATGAATACTTTTAAAATGTTATTTTTCAAAGATGATCCTTGGATATTCTATAGGAAAATTCTTTAATACTTTTATTAAAACACCAAAAGCTTGGAATCGTGTATACTCGTTAAACTTGCAGCCTGAACTATTTTTAGCGAGTACCTGTTCCTCTGCCTTTCCTAACATGTTCATTGCCCTCATGTTGACATTCTTCGACAGTTTGTCCTTCATCTCCTGCAGCTTCAGTATCCGCCTCTCTGCCTCCTTGGGGTCATTAGCCTTGAAGTCATAGGCAGTGTTTGCCTGGCCAAAGTATTTCTTCTCGTCCATAATCCAGTGATAGGATTGGAGCAGGTTTTCAACCTGTTTTATAATCAAAATGACTTTTGCTATTTAATAACAGAAAATAGAATACTTTTTGGGGAAAAAAGAGAGAAAAATATTGTTATTTCAATGGAAAAACTTCAACATCTGATGTTTCCAACAAGAAAAGAAAATCTTGAATATTCAAATATGTTTTCTATTTTCCACATGACTACAGTTATGGAAGATTATCACAAATACTGAAAGCAATTTCAATAATAGCGCTAGGAAGAGTTTCTGTATACAATTTTGTAAAGTCTGAAAGACATGAATGTTTCTTTCATATTTCCTTTTTACAAAAGCATCAACAAATTGTGGATTTGTAATATTTAAACCATGATTTTGACAGGATTTAAAGCCAAAATGTAGAGGGCTTAATCAAACAGAGACAGACATTTTGTTGTGCCATTCACAATTTATGAGGTAACATCATTGTCTATATTATGACGTCAATCGATTACTGACTGGCACAGTCAATGAAAAACGCTCCAGGGTATATTACACTAGTGACATATGTAAAAATATTACACGGGTGAATTCACTGGACACCAGGCCAAATAAGTGACCAAATACTGTTCTAGTTTCTCATCAGAGGACATCAATGTCAAAGACATTATTATGCAATGTAAATGCTGTCATCTTCATGTTACAAGAAACAGGCTGGAACTAATGTGTCTGAAATGTTGAAGCTAGAACTTAAGTAAGAGGCAAACTAAATACTCCCTGTCTCCTCTGAAGAAAAACTGTAATATCAATTTTATTTAAGGGCAGTTAAGGATTTTTGACTATATTCCCATTTTAAGAAAGACTATTAGTTTGAGCAGAAAAAAACGTATCCCTGATTTCCTAGGCTATGGAATTTTACAAATTTTGAAATAAACAATATAAAAAAGGACCTGTCTGGCAGCAGCCTGGGAGTCACTCTGGAATTTAGACATCTTGTGTTCCAGCTCTTGGATCTTGAGTTCGGCAGCATGGTGCTCCTTGGCAAGATTACGCTGCTCCTCCACCTTCTGGTTGATATCTGCATTACAAGTCTTCAACAGTTCCTTCTGTTTGTTCAGCTCTGACTGAGCTTCCTTCACCAACGCCTAGGGAGAAAAATAAACTCAAGTAAGTCTGATGTCACTGGTATGGCTTTTAATACAGCAAAAGCTTGTAATTCCTTACAAGGTAATGTTGAGTGATTTTTTGTTTGATTGAAGACATGTCATGGTCAAAATAAATGTATGTATAACAAATTTTGCTTCTTTAGAATCGCTGGAGGAATATGTATTACAGATTCTGTTTCCACAGATGAGTATGTGTCTTGGAACATAGGTCATTGATACTGCGTTAACATGCATGGTTAAATAAGTGTTCTGTTATACAACACATCTTACTTTCCTTAGCCTTCTCTGTGAGTTCCTGTGACTGTGTCACATAAAACATATACCTTACTTTCCTTAGCCTTCTCTGTGAGTTCCTGTAACTGTGTCACATACAACACGTACCTTACTTTCCTTAGCCTTCTCTGTGAGTTCCTGTGACTATATCACATACATTACTTTCCTTAGCCTTCTCTGTGAGTTCCTGTAACTATGTCATAACATTACTTTCCTTAGCCTTCTCTGTGAGTTCCTGTAACTGTGTCCCATACAACACGTACCTTTCTTTCCTTAGCCTTCTCTGTTAGCTCCTGTAACTATGTCACATACCCTACTTTCCTTAGCCTTCGCTGTGAGTTCCTGTAACTGTGTCCCATACAACACGTACCTTACTTCCCTTAGCCTTCTCTGTGAGTTCCTGTAACTATGTCACATACCTTACTCTCATTTGCTTTCTCTGTAAGTCCTGTGACTGTGTCACATACAACACATACCTTACTTTCCTTTGCATTCTCTGTGAGTTCCTGTGACTGTGTCACATACAACACATACCTTACTTCCTTAGCCTTCTCTGTGAGTTCCTGTAACTATGTCACATACCTTACTTTCCTTTGCTTTCTCTGTGAGTTCCTGTGACTATGTCACATACAACACTTACCTTACTTTTCTTTGCCTTCTCTGTGAGTTGCTGTGACTATGTCACATATCTTGCTTTCCATTGCCTTCTTTGTGAGTTCCTGTGACTGTGTCGCATACAACACATACCTTACTATCCTTTGCCTTCTCTGTGAGTTGCTGTGACTATGTCACATATCTTGCTTTCCTGTGCCTTCTTTGTGAGTTCCTGAGACTGTGTCACATACAACCATACCTTTCTTTCCTTAGCCTTCTCTGTGATTTCCTGTAACTATGTCACATACCTTGTTTTCCTTAGCCTTCTCTGTGATTTCCTGTAACTATGTCACATACCCTACTTTCCTTAGCCTTCTCTGTGATTTCCTGTAACTATGTCACATTCCTTGTTTTCCTTTGCCTTATCTGTGAGTTCCTGTGACTATATCACATACCTTGCTTCCCTTTGCCTTCTCTGTGAGTTCCTGTGACTATGTCACATATCTTGCTTTCCTTTGCCTTCTTTGTGAGTTCCTGTGACTGTGTCACATACAACCATACCTTACTTTCCTTAGCCTTCTCTGCGAGTTCCTGTGACTTTATCACATACCTTGCTTTCCTTTGACTTCTCTGTGAGTTCCTGTGACTATATCACATACCTTGCTTTCCTTTGCCTTCTCTGTGAGTTCCTGTGACTATATCACATACCTTACTTTCCTTAGCCTTCTCTGTGAGTTCCTGTGACTATGTCACATACCTTACTTTCCTAAGCCTTCTCTGTGAGTTCCTGTAACTGTGTCACATACCTTACTTTCCTTAGCCTTCTCTGTGAGTTCCTGTAACTATGTCACATACCTTACTTTCCTTAGCCTTCTCTGTGAGTTCCTGTGACTATGTCACATACCTTACTTTCCTTTGCCTTCTCTGTGAGTTCCTGTAACTGTGTCACATACCTTGCTTTCCTTTGCCTTCTCTGCGAGTTCCTCTAGTTGGGCCTCATACTGTGTAATGGTCTCGGCCACTGTTGCCAGCTGTTCCTCGTATCCCTTAATTCCTTTCTTTAGTTCCTCTATCTCCAGCTTTAGACTGTCTACCTCCTGATCAACAAACAATTGTAGATGATATCTGGATTCCTTATTTCAATGTTTATTGCTTTTCATACTTTAATATTCAAAAGCATAAAAATAATCATAACAAGAGGCCCATGGGCCTTAAAAGTCACCTGATATATTTATACAGAGAGTTGATGTTGTTTTTAACACAAATATTATTCAAAGTGACAAAAAACAATAAAACCACCTTATTCAATATCTAGCATACAGATTTAAGACTAAAAAGTATTTGAAACTAGCACCTCTGATTCTAAACAAAGAAAATGAAGAAATTTTAGCACACTGACTCCTTTGGGCCCCACCCTACAGCCCTTGGGGCTAAGTATCAAACTGTCAACTCAGGGTTATAATTCTAATCAAGTTATTAACATGTAATATTCAAAGTATCATTTGCCATTATAAACCATAATAAGTTTTGCCCACTCGTTCCCCAGGGGGTAAACGTGAGACCCTAGGGTCATAAACCTTAAGACCCTTCCATCTATGAAGAGTATTTGATTCTACCATATCTGGGTCTTGAGAAGAAGATTTTTGAAATTTCAGTCAATTCAACCCTTTTTGGCCCCACCCTTCAGCCCCTGGGGGTCAGTCAGGGCTCATATGTGCATACAATCAAACTGCTACCTCATACTGAAAATGCTTACCTAAATTGAATTACTTCCAATGGAAATTAAACAAATGTTGGTCCAAAATGTGATTTCCCTATATGAACTATAGTAAAGTTTAACCCCTCCCCAGGGGGAAACGTGAGACCCAGAGTCATGAAATCAACAAGTTTGGTAAAGCACCTTAAGACCCTTCCATCTATGAAGAGTACTTGATTCTACCATATCTGGGTCTTGAGAAAAAGATTTCTGAAATTTTAGTCAATTTGCCCCTTTTTGGCCCCCCCCTTCAGCCCCTGGGGGTTAGTCAGGGCTCATATGTGCATACTATCAAACTGCTACCTCATACTGAAAACGCTTACCTAAATTGAATTACTTCCAATGGAAATTAAACAAATGTTGGTCCAAAATGTTATTTCCCTATATGAACTATAGTAAAGTTTAACCCCTCCCCAGGGGGAAACGTGAGACCCAGAGTCATGAAATCAACAATTTTGGTAAAGCACCTTAAGACCCTTCCCTCTATGAAGAGTATTTGATTCTACCATATCTGGGTCTTGAGAAAAAGATTTTTGAAGTTTTAGTCAATTTGACCCTTTTTGGCCCCGCCCTCAGGCCCCTGGGGGATGGGGACCAAACCGGCCACTCTTTTTGTTGACCTTTGACCATGGAAGGTTTCTGCAAAATTTCATTGAAATTGGTTCAGGGGTTTTGGAGAAGAATTCGAAAATGTAAATTGTTTACGGACGCCGGACAAAAGGCGATCGCAATAGGTCACTTGAGACTTTGTCTCAGGTGACCTAAAAATGTCATAGAAACTTGTGGCATGTTGGTACAATACTGAGATTGGAGAGCGCTTTATTAATATGCATGTTTACATTATAAAATGGATACAAAGGCACGATCTCTTTATGAACATTTGTTTCCAATCAATGCATAAATACATAGAATATTGTCAATGGTCCTCTAAAAGATAACAAACTCACCGTGCCAAAGTAAGAGCTACAATTACAATTACAGGTTGTGTTTTTCTCAAAACATTGTGTTTTAAATTTGATTTGATTGGCTGTTCCAGAAAAAAAGACATCCCCCCCTGGGACGGCAAACTTTTTTTGTTAACGTGGGTGGTTGAACATTGAATAAAATCGTAGTTATTGGTTGTTGTTGTTGTTGTATTTTCGTTTCTGTGGGTCGTTGTACGTTGGAGAAATAAAAAAATATATTTAAAAAATAAATAAAACCTGATTAATTAATTTACATGGTGGTGTGATATGAAAATATCTGGTTGAAGCTCGGATGTAGATTTGCGTTATTGAAATACGTGCTGAAACTTTGGCAGCGTGACATTACTGTATCGCTTGCAAGTAGCTTCCGGTATGTGGGTCAAGGGATGCAACTCCTATGATAAAAAAAATCAATCTTGATAGAGGGCGCTGTTATCACTCTTCACAAAAATGTCTGCCCATTCGCGTGGTTGGAGCCCGGAAGATGTGGTAAGATGGATGGCGAGGCATGGTTTAGGCCAATTTTAACTATTTAAATAACATGGTATGTGGGTACTACTTTTTTCCCCCTTTTTTTTAAACTAAAAAACAATTGTGGGTCGTTGGTATGGAACAAAATTCGTAATTACGGGTGGTAGGGGGCAGCTGATTATTGAAGTTATGGGTGGTAGGGGTCCGGAAAAAGTGCCGGCCCAGGGGGGGATGTCTTTTTTTCTGGAACAGCCCTAAGCTTTTAATTCAATTCATTGCATTATATACCAAACTTGATATGCTTAGATAGCATCATGTCAAAATCAAATATTTAGCCCAAAGAAAGTGAATCCTTAGTTTTTCAGTCTATTTTTTTTAATTTTTTATAGAAATGTGAAAGGCAGACGGGCATTTTATTTTCGATTTCTGAAATAAATATTGTGACAGGTAAATCTGTTCAAATTTGACCTTTGACCCTTTAACTTTTACCAATGAACACCAAAATGCTAAAGAGGCATAAAACTCAATATTACCATGTCAGATGATGTAAAAATGTTAAAATAATTAACTAACTAAATTTGTTTGAAGATTTGTGAGATATACCTTATACTCCGGTTTTTAAATGAAAAAGTGGACAAGTTTGACCTTTGACCCTTTTCACCATGACCGTAAAAGTATATAAGGTGCAAAACTTCGTGTTTCCATACTATTATGGTACAAATGCAACGTCAATCTGACAAGGGGATACTATATACCCTAACCCTGCTACACTAAGTAGGAAGTTTATTTTATTTTCAGAGGTAAAAAACCCCACAAGAATTGTATGCTGCTTCATATTTTCATATTCAGTTATTGAAACAATGATATTGGTTATGTGGGCATAAAAAGTCTGTGGCTGTACACTGAAAGTATTAATGTAAACCAGACCTGGTATTTCTCCTTCATCAGTTTGCTGGATTCCTCCATCTTTTTCTTGGCCTTTGTGACGGCCTCCTGGGCCTCCTTGAGTTCCTGCTCCCTCACAGCCTTGGCATTCTTGATCTTGTTGTCCAGGTCCTTCACCTTCTTAGATGCCTTGTCCTGTGTCTCCTTAGCTTTCTTCAGCAGCTCCTCTTGTTCCTCTGTACACGTAAATATTTTTATAACATGTTTGCCAGTGAAATAACGGATTCTATCAACTTGATAAAACTGATATCTTTCACACTGTGACAAATATCAAAAGTGTGAAAATATTACTTTTTGGTATTGACCAATCATAACGGTATCTTCTATTCGCTGCAATCAAAGGCAACATTTTTTTTGTTCAGATTCAAATGAAGCGACGGTAGAATAAGTGGTTGTTATGGTAAATGTTTGGTGCACACGCTTAAGTATTTACATCAATATACAATTAATAGCATTTTTATAAGCAATCATACCAGAAAATGTAGGAATTGTGTTGAGTATCCCATTCAAAATGTTGCGCAGCCTTGTTGTCAAGCGTGACGTCATTGGAATATGGTGCTAATTATTACGCTTATGATTCCCGCCCTTTTTTAATGCATTACATTTTTCATGTTTTATGCTTTAAAAATGCAATAAATAGAATATTTAATGGTGTCTTCAGTAATACCAAATATATTTCACGAGTGTGGCTTATATTTTTGATATTTTTCACGAGTGCATCTCTATATATCGATTGTAAGAACACAGTGTGTCAAAAAATAAAGTAGATAAAGTGAAAAACAAATCCTGGATTTTTTTTATAGAACAGGGGTTAAGGCCACAAATAGTTTTGCATTATTAAATGTAAAACAGATTAATCAGAACCTCATCTTTTTCCTCAGTGCGCACAGAGTATAATAATAAGACATCAGGTCCAACAAAAGTAACTTGTTTTTCTGGCTACCTATGGAGGCTTGCAGAGCATTGATCTCCTCAAGCTGTTGGTGATGAGAACTCTGCTCCAATCTTGCTTTCACAAGTTCTGCTTCTTGCACTTTCAGATCATATTTTTGCTTCATGCTTGTAAATCTGTAACAAACAACGGGAAAACACTCTTTAATTTTAATTCCTTCTTAATGATTGTAAGCAAAATCTTGTAACAAAAATCTTCTCGATACAGTAAGGTTGCCACTGCTTGTGAAATACCATCCAACATTTCCCATCAGACTTACTTTTACTACATTATACATCCATAACTTCACAAGTCTTACCAAGGTTTCCTATGTACTGATCAACACTTACTTCTCTGCAGTCTTAGTGAGAGCATTCAGTTCCCGCTCCACCTCGGACAGTCTCTGTTGTTTGGTGTGGAGCTCCCCTTGAATGTCCTGGAATGCTTGTAGTTTCTCCAGGATAGAACTGGTCTGAGCCCGGGCACCTATACAACAACAATAGTCAGCCTTACAGTCAGAGAATAATGACAGTTGCTAGGTTGCTCAAAACTTGATAACCTTGACCAGAAGTATACTGTATTGCTGGCATACCAACATGTTCCACTGTACTTCTGAAAATACACCCTCAGTTTATATTTACCTCCTGTCAAACAATCAACATGGTTGTCAAACAGTTAATCATAAATTAAGTGTGAAGTTTTTGTTGCTGTTATTATAGTTTTAATTCCTGTTTGTCTGGTCATTTGTTTTAAGCTAGGTAATAGTTACACAGCTATTTCATACATTAAAACTAGGTGGCTTATCTTTTTTAAAGATGTATGTCTTGTTTTGTAATTTTTCCAAACAGTGATCTGAGCAAAAAGTGTTTACCTCCAGTGAGTGTGCCAGCAGGATCAAATGAGTCGCCCTCTAATGTCACGGATTTCTTCATCACCCTCTCGTCAAAGGTGACTTTTTTGGCAGTATCCATATCCTTACATACAAAGGCTGAGCCAAACACAAACTCCATGGCAGCTTTAAGATCCTTCTCATACCCAATCAGAGACAGAGCAGTGTTTACATTGTCCTTCCCAACCTAGAAAACAGAATTAAAGTGAAACCGAACTGGAAGTAACCATTTCTAATTTATATAAATCCTGTGTACTATTGCATTTGAAGATGACTTATAGATGCTAATATCTAATAATGGAAGATAGAAAGATGCATTTTTTTTTTTTTTGCAACAAGACTGCTTCATATAAATCACCCTATATCAAATTTTAATTATTTTTAATTCAAAACAACAAGATGAAAAAGGAGCCATCTTAAAACCCTTTAAACACCCGTAAATTCCAAGAATATCTCTACCAGTTGTTCAGCACGCTTGACGGTGTCAGTGTTGATACTGCGTGCAGATATCTTGTTGAGAGGAATGATTGTGTAGCGTCGACGTAACTCTCCCTTCTGTAGCAGCTTCTTGCCAGTCACCTCTGTGTCTACGACCACATTGTACAACTGAAAATCAGTGTAGAAATGGAAATTTATTATGCATATTTTATTCAGGAAAAATGACATGTTTTCTGTATTAATCTTGATTTCTAAATTGTTATAAGTGTGTGAATTTGTGGCTAATTTTAACATAGACATATAGATATTGACATATTACTGTTCTACGGTTTTTGGAAAACATTTATCATTAGCACATTTGCATGAGTCAACATAACAGGAACCTGTAACAAGCAAGAGTATAGTGATAAATACAACAGATCATAAATCAGGTTTTTAAAATTAACATGAAATGCCTTCATGTAAGACAACTACTAAACAAGAGTATCGCTCACCTGGATATCTTTGCAATCATGACAAAATATTCTCCAAATGAGATCCAAGGGTATATGCCCGACCCCAAGGCCATTCCTTATATCATATCTGTATAAGATTTTCAAGCCCACCAATTTTATGTATGGTTATGGGGTGGGGATCAGCTATGACTCAGAAACTAGGTCCCTAGGGTTGTGACTGCATTCGTCTCTTTTTGCCTAGTATTTGTATTCATAGTTTGGGGTGGGGATCTCATGATCAACAGTTTCAAAGTTATGACCCAGGGGTTAAGTCTGCAAGGGTGGGGCACACCCTGTGGTCAATTCTAATATCATGACTGCATTTGTCTCTTAATGCCTAGCATTTGTATATATAGTTCTGGGGTGGGGATCTCAACCGTTTCAAAGTTATGACCCAGGGACTATATCTCCAAGGGTGGGGCCAGACCCTAGAGCCATCCTGGAAGCAAATGTGCATTCTTCTCTTTATACTCAGCAATTGTATATATGGTTATACGGTGGGGATCTCAACCATTTCCAAGTTATATATTTTTTTTGGCCCAACCCCTTAGCCTGGGGGGTCAGCCCGACCATTTGAACAATTTTGAATCCCTGCCTCACATGAATGCTTCCGACCAAATATGATCGATATCCATCGCATAGTTCTATAGAAGAAGTCGTTTATAGCAATATAGCTGAATTGCCCCCTTTTGGCCCCGCCCTCAGCCCCTTGAGGGGTCAGCCCCACCATTTGTACAATTTTAAATCCCCACCACCTAGGGATGCTTCCAGTCAAATATGGTTGATATCCATCTCTAAGTTCAAGAGAAGAAGTCGCTTAAAGCAATATAGCCAAATAACCCATTTTGGCCCTGCCCCTCAGCCCCCTGGGGGGGTCAGCCCAACCATTTGTACAATTTTGAATATTCACTACCTAGGGATGCTTCCAGTCAAATATTGTTGATATACATCTCTTAGTTCTAGAGAAGAAGTTGCTTAAAGCAATATAGCCAAATTGCCAACACCCTTCAGCCCCACCATTTGTACAATTTTGTATCCCCACCACCAAGGAATGCTTCCAGTCAAATTCCAATCAGTGGCTAAGAAGGAGAAGTCGTTTAAATAAATTGGACCAGGTGAGCTAAAAAGTATGCTTACATTGTTTTTTTAACATGTTTTGCTTAAAAAATCCTATTTTCCTTCTCAAGAATTAAAAAGATTTTACAGTTGTGGGATCGCACAACGTTACACGATGTGCGGTGTGCGCACGATGTGTGCACGGTGTGTGAACGGTGTGTGCACGATGGGCGAACGATAAAAAGCTAGACGATCATTGCTTGCGCACATCTGTGCGCACGATGGACGGACGTTGTGCGATAACAATCGTGGTTGGTGTAAATTGAGGAATGCCTTAACAATTTATACGGTT